GGCAAGGAGACTCTTTCTCCTTATCTTTTTATTTTGGTCGCTGACATTCTCTCCAAATTGTTAAACGAAAGCCTCCATCATCATAGAATTTCTGGTTTACAGATAACACCACACTGCCCTACACTTTCCCATCTGCTGTTTGTGGATGATGTGCTTTTATTCCTTAGAGCAAATGTTGATGAGTGCACAAATTTTCTGGATGTATTGCGCTTGTACTGTGGAGCATCAGGTCAGGTTGTTAATTTTGATAAGTCTTGTGTTCAATTTTCTTCTAATGTTTTGCCGGATATTCAAAGCAACATCTGCAGGCTCTCAGGTCTAAGCTTATCACTGGCCACTGCGAAATATCTCAGTTTACCTTCGTGCTGGGGGAGGTCCAAGGTGGAGGCTTACGATTTCATCATTGAGAAAGTTTTGGCAAAATTACAAGGCTGGAAATTGAAGTTGTTATCTCCTGCTGAGAGGGAAGTTTTAATTAAAGCTGTTGTCCAAGCTATTCTCACTTATGCGATAGCTTGTTTTACTTTCCCCAAGAAATTTTGTGATAAACTAAATTCATCCATTAGTAAATTTTGGTGGAGGGGCGACCCGGAAGGGAAAGGAATTCATTGGGTGAGTTGGGGGCAGCTGTCTATATCCAAAATCCATAGAGGCCTGGGTTTTCGGGATTTTAAAGCGTTTAACATGGCCCTCCTTGCTCGCCAAGGTTGGAGGTCACTGAAGTTCCCTAATTCATACTGTGCCAGGATGTTAAAAGGTATTTATTTTCCCCATTCAAATTTCGCTGATGCTTCACGAGGAAGGCGAGTCTCCTGGGGATAGACTAGTCTTATTCATGGAAGGAGTATTCTGCTTGAAGGAGTTCGATGACAAGTCAACAATGGGGCCTCTGTTTCATTTTGGGATGACAAATGGATTCCTTTTATTATTGGGTTTAAACTGTGTTCTCCAAGACCAGCGAATTGCGAAGTATCTCGAGTGGTAGATGTGATTAATCTAGTACACAAGAGCTGGAAAGTTGATTCCCTAAACAACTTAGTTTCGGCAAAGGAAGTTGAAGCCTTCTGTACTATTCCAATTTCGGAAGAGAATATGGAGGATACTTTGGTTTGGCAGTTCGAGTCTAAGGGCTCTTATTCGGTGAAGTCGGGTTATCATGTTGTTTTAAAAGAGAAAGACAGGGAGCTAATTCAAAGACCGTCTTCCTCTTTCTAGCTTCCTCAGAACTTTGGGAAATTCATTTGGTCTCTTAATATCCCTCCGAAAATCCGTCATTTTTGGTGGAGAGTGTGCAAGAATGGGCTAGCTACGAAGGAAAATTTGTTCAAATGGAATTGTGCTGAGTCAGGTTACTGCCCTATTTGCAACAAGCTACTGGAATCTGTTGAGCATCTCCTTTTTGAGTGTGATTGGGTAAGACCAGTGTGGTTCGGGTGTGAGTTTGGTTGTAAAGTTTCTTGGTTAGAGACTCAATCAATTTTGAAGTGGTCTTGCCAGATGATGGAGAATTTCAGTGACAATAAGGAGTGTAATTTTTTTTTCAACTCAATTGCCTGGATTGGTTGGTTTGTTTGGAAAGAACGCAATGAATTTGTTTTCTCTCAAAAACCAGTTGATCCGCTCTCCACATTGCATCGCGTAGGGTTGGCAAAAAAGGAATTTGATGCCAGGAGCATCTCGTAAGGGACTGATCACAGTCATCGTTTTAAAAGCCATTAGCAAAGGGAAGATAATTGGAAACGTCCAGCTGTTGGAAATTTCAAAATAAATTGTGATGTGGCTATCCATAATGGCTCAGATTCTACTTCAATTGCTGCCATCCTTCGGGATTCGAATGGAAGGTTGCTGGATGGTGTGGTCAAAAAGATTGTGTGTTCTTCTTCTCTCCAAGGTGAGGCCCTCGCATGTCGGTTAGCTTGTCAATTAGCTCTTGCTCGCAACCTAGCAGGAGTGGAAATTGAAGGAGACAACAAATCTGTTATTCACCTCAGTGTATCTGAACTTGATCCTCCTTGGGATTGTGGTGCTATCTTTTCGACATCAAACAACTTGCTTAGCGTTTGAATTTGACACTTTCTTGGCGTCCTAGAGCAGCAAACAAAGCAGCGCATTGGGTGGCCCAGGCTTCACTTAGGAATGCCCTCCCTCTAGACTGGATATCTTTCCCCCCTCTGGCTCTTATGGCTTTATTAAGGCTGGCCTAGTTTGTTTTGTTTGGTTGTGTTTCCCTGCCTTTTTTCATCTGATCAAAAAAAAAAGAAGTAAAACCTTAAGACACTCGTACTGCAACCAAATCATACAACCTTGTTTCATTCCATATTTTTGTTCTCAAGTAACTTCCTTACCACTAAAATTCCATCACAAGAGTTTAACTCGTTGTCATCTAATTCGTAATAACTCGAATTGTTATTCGTCTCAATTCATATTCATATTGTCATCAAAAGTCATTCTCTAATATAAAATAGTCTTTGAAGTCAACATTATATCATTAAGCCACAAAATATATTAACCATAACATTCTACTCTCATCAATCACATTACTCATATACTTTTATTTAGCTATTCACATATCCTCTAACAAGTCACATATTTATATATATATTCCACAAGTCTCCAAATAGTTGAGAATTAATCACAAATGATATTCATGATCCTCCTTAACTTTAAATAAATCAAACTACTCCGTTATTGACATTTTATATGAAGTCTCCACAATAGATTAAGTATTTAATACAACCTCAATAACAAATTCAAATTTTTTGTCCACAGATACTTTGACCACAACAACCTTATTGACAAATTAAATGGGGTGGGGTTTTGTTCCATTAGTTCCAAAAGAAAAGTTAATTATTTCCGAAAGTCAAAGACAATTCACTCAGGCATATGGCCAACATTGACTTATCACACTCAACATTACATCCCAATAATCCATATCAAAAGTATTGAGTCAAATTCATAGTATAACATTTCCAAATAATATAGGTCCTCTGGATAATGAAGAAACACTTATTACATAACATTAATCCCAATAATCAATTCATTTATAACCAAATGGGTCGAAATAAAAGAACGAGTTCTGAACCAACCATTATTTGTTCACAAGTAGTAAGGGTGCTCAATAGTGGTATTGGCAAACCGAAGCATTCACATCCCAATTGTTTCAATAACCTCAAATTAAGTTCCAAATGCCCAAGTAGATGAGTTCTAAGTTTACCATAATCAATTAAACAAACATAGAATACCAATTCTAACTTATGACTTTTTGCATGTACTAGACTATACATATTGGCATAGACAATCTACGATTCATTATTTCCATACTTATTCAAATTCTCATGAGCGTATACATATTAATTTATTTCAATCTTCAAGTGGTATTAAAAATCATCAAATTATTTTTAAAACTAAACTTTGACCTTCTCGATCCTTTGCAAATTAGCCAATTCAAATTCTTTTGTTCCAGGAGGTTCTTTAAGAAATACACATTTATAACTTCGATGAAGAATGATATCTTGCTTCTATTATGCATTAACTCTTTTGACTAACACTAGAAGCGAACTTCTTTTCCAACGTTGACAACACAATCTTAACAACTATTGTTCTCCTTCCATCATTAAATAGGCCAATCTTCATTGGTTTAGCCCTTAGTCACATTTCATTAATTCTAGTAATTTCGATCAAGTTTTAAGTAAACAGATCCTAAATTTATCAAACTTTAGGTAGGAGAAATTCACATAACCAAAACATATGATATAATTACTCAAAATTCTATGCTTATACTTAAGGTACTCCTTCACTTAACAATTGGGTTAGGCACTAATCTTCAAAATAACTAGCTAACTTGAAACCCTCCTTAAAATTTATCATTATAATTATTTCTTTTGAATAATCCTTCGTTAGTTGTTCTATCTCTCCACATTTGAAGTATGCTCTTGAAATTCAATAGCACACCCAATATAATATATGCAACAAATCGAACATTTGGGGAATGACTTATATCTAACTTAAAATTACTTGTCTCTCCAAATTTTACTTAACAATTATGTCCTACTTCTTAGACATATTCTGAAATTGCTTCTTTGGCTTAGCATTTTACTTTTCCTTCTGATCTTGCGGTTTCCCATAACATTGCTGCATAGCTTTTATCTTTTCTTAGAGTCACAAGACAAGATAGATAACATTCGGGATAATATTAGCTAGCTTAGATCATACATCACAATTTCAACCATAAGTCAAACAATTATACAAAGATAACGGTAGGGCAACCTATTCGTTCTCATGAAGTTGACTGAGAATTTTTGATTCGAAGCTACATCGGCCGAACTTGATTCCAATTGGACTTTCAAGGTCATTCAACAAAGGTATGAGACTGTGGTTTCCACATTAGATTCCTCACTGAATCAACATATTTCTTACATACTTATAGTTTTCTTATTCTCAATCACCATAACTCCACATACCTCATTGAATCATCAAATTCCTCAATTTCCCAGATATTCTCGTAGTCTAATTTTACATTCAATCACAATTTCCATCAAAGATTTTAGTTCCTTTTAATACCATATTCCCACGGATCAATATACTGTGCCAATCAAAAATCACATTCCCCTTATAGCATTAAAAAAATTCCACAACAGCTCTTAACTTCAATGCTAAACTTATTGAATAAACACATCCTAGTCTCCTCTAATCGTTGAAATTTAAAAATAACCTTTAACTCTTATAACACTATATTCTCGTAAATCATTACACTCGTGCTCACTAATATTCCAGTCAACAATTCTAATTTCCTTATAATGTGAAAAATTCTTTATAACATCTTGTTTCCACAAATAAACATATTGGTACTCACCAATGCTCAAGTCAAAAGTTCAAATTTCCTCATAACTTTAGAAATTTGAACAATAACTCTTAGCCTTTAGCCTCATTACTTAACTTATCAAACACATTTTGATTTCCTTATAATCATTAAAATTCCATAATAGTACTTAATTCTTAGATTCAATACTCAAATTGTTCAACAAACACACATACATTTCTGTAAATGCACAACTCATCACTTACCTACTATGTGCATGAAACTTAAATCTGTTTTAGACATTCTAATGCTCAATGGACATGTGCATGAGATATTAACTCGTGCTCTGATACCACTCTATCATGACCCAGACCCATCTCTATAGGTTTAGCGTCGTGATAGGCCAGTAATCCTAGATTACCTTCAGCCTCAAAGACAAAATTTCAAAATATTTATAATCATATCAGGGCCTCAAGCGGAAGCAAAGCAAAAATAAAAATGTCCATTGAGCTTATAGCTACATGATACAATGATAATTATATACGAATACAAATCTTACATATCTCACACACATATACCTTTAAGACTCAGCAAAATACAAAACTCTGAAAAAGCTAAGGGCTAATTTTCTTGGCTCTACTCAAGCGTAACTTGCTCCATTCCGGAAGCTCTTCAAAAGGCTGACACGGGTAGACTCCGAGGCTTTATCTATCCTTATTGCTTAGTTTGCTCACCTACATATACATATAAACAGTGAGCTAAAGCCTAGCCCAACGAGTAATAACAGAATAAAGAGGTTAAATGAATGAAGTTCAACGATAATACAAAAACCTGTCTTACAATTTCGAAATGAATCTTAAATCATTTTCAAAGTGAGGAATTTTCCACATTAAATCAAATTCAGAACAAAACATTTTCCATGTCGAATCCCATATCAAAACATATCTTTCATTTTTTGAAGCAATCCTTTTTAATAGATAGAACATTTTGATTAGCAATTATATCATCTCTTTACAGTAACAAAAGCCATTCGTATCATTATATGTGGTACATCTATGAAACAATAATATTCCAGTGATAACGGACCATATATCAATCAATCCGAAAGCCATGGTAGTGTTACCCCCAGGCCAAGTTAAGGGCCCTAGCCATGGTATTGTTACCCCCAGGCAAGGACTTACGTTCAATGGATGCCACAATACCATTTCAAAACAGAACTTCATTCATTTTGAAAAAATAATGTTTCAATAGGCCATTCAATCAATCATACATCAATTTCGATAGCAATAACATTTTCAAAAAATAAAGATAAATTGAACATATCTTTATAGAGTTATTACTCACTGTGGGTTAAGTCGATATAAGGCCTCGAACGTCCACCTATACAATTCACACAACAAAGATACAATAGAAGCACCATTCAATATCCATTTCATTTTAATTCAACTTTCTTTATGTGTTTCTAGCTTATTCCATGACTATGTGAGTCCAATTGGTGCCTAAGAATACTTAGAATGCCCTGAGGATGCAAATATGCATTTAAAAGAGTTAGTAAAAAATTGCTGGAAATAGGGTCTTCACTCGAGCGGACCTTTGGTCGCTCGAGCGGTTTGCAAAGCTCTGTAAAAATACTGGATGGCCTCAATGTTTGCTCAAGCAGTGACTTTACCGCTCGAGCGGCTAGCAAATTTTTTGTGCTTTCAAAAACAACAAAAATAATTTCTAAACACATTTTTAAAACTTTGACTCTTGCATGGACCAATTTAAACATGTAACTTTTCATTACTAATGATGAACCCATGACAAATTTTCTATTTTCTAATACAAAAATCTATTTGATCATTAAGATTAAAACCAATAATTTCATGAATATAATAATCCCAACATTCATCTTTCTTTGCTTTATAAAACATAAATTAAAGCCATATAGCCCTTTAAAAAAAATATTTACATGTAAGAAATTAAAATCAAAATCAAACTAATTTTGATTCTCAAATATAAATTATAATCTATATCTAAATTTGCCCAAATTTAGATTTAAACCCACAAATTTTAAAACATGAATTAAACTTTCACAACTCTTGAAAAATTTATGATGTATGTGCAATTAAAATTCTAATTTTTGCAAGACAACAAAAATCAAACTACAAAATGCTCAATTCTAATTTAATTTCTACAATTTGAATTTAATTCAATTCCTTCACCCTTTTTCTAATTTCTTTGAAATTACATGAAATTGATTCTTAATCCCTTATTTATTTATTTTTTATTTTTTATTTTCCTTTAAATCATGAAATTGGAGTTATGAAACTTTGCATGTATGAAATTAAGATCAAAACCAAATAATTTTGATTAGAATAGCTCTAATTTGGATTATTATTAATTTTCTCCAAATCAAACCCAAATTCAAATCCATAAACCTTTTAAACATGAATTAAAATCTCAAAACTTTGAAATCCTATGATGCATGTTTAATTAGAGTATTAAACTTGTAGAATTTGTTCATGCATGTAGAAATGAAACTCAAATTCATGCAAGACTACAAAAATCAAATTCAACAAAATTGATTCCCAATTTAACTTCCATAAATTGAACATAACTCCATTTCTTCATCATCTTGCTAATTTCCTTTTAATTACATGAAATTGAATCCAATTATCTCTCAGTTTCAGCTTTTAGGTGATTTTTCTACAAAATTTGAACTTTAATTTCTTACCTAAAATCTTCAATTTGTTGAGTTTCTTGATCAAGCTTTGAGTTTCTTCCTTTTGTCTTCAATTTCTTGCTCACCCTTTCTCTAGAGTTGAACTCTCTCTCTCTCTCTCTCCCCCACCGTTTTCCTCCAGCCAAACCAGGTTGATGAGTAGTTTCAATACACTACACCCCTTTCTTTATTCCATTCTTCGCTCCCTTTTTATTTATTTATTTATTTTATAATAAAAAATGGTGGGACACTTGTCCACCTTAAAATAATCCATGTGGTGGTATGTTAGGATTAGTTTAGCACACTAATTACACATTAGCTTAATTAAATATCACTTAGTCTAGATTAATCATTGTTAGCACATAACTTAATTAATCATAATGAATTACAATTCCTACATGATTTAATTAGTCTAATTTGACTTCCATTAAGGCCCAATTAATTATATTTAATCTTTACCATTCTGAATCAGATTTTTTTTTTTTAAAATCAAACTCTCGAAACACTCCAAATATTAAATTAAACTTATTGCCATCATCAATTTTGATTTCCCAAATCGTTTAGGCCTTCAATTTCTAATCAGACTCAAAATTTTCGTCAATAAATTACTTATTTAAATTGGACACCCCATAAATAAATTTAATTCATAATAATCACAATTCTCAATTCTCATAATTTAATTTACTTAATTAACTCCAATTTGGACCTAATTAATCGAATCTCAATTTTACTAAACTGAATTGAACATTTAATTAAACCCCCATATGGTCCAATACTAGAAATTAAACTGAATCAACTTATCAATTTTACCTCCTTAAGCCTTTTGAATGTTCAATTTTTAATTCAAAATAAATCCTTTATAAAATCTTATACGAATTAGATTCGACAATTCTCATAAATCCCAAATTAAATCAAGGTAACGACTAATTAAAATTCAAATCCCCGTAGTTAATCAAATATAAAATATGATACGAGGCAGGGTCGTCATAACCATGCTCGTGCATGAGGCCGAACCAATGCATCCAGCTTAATGACCGAGCTAAAACAACACTTGCACACTTCTCTAATCGAGCCACATGTTAAAGTTTTGTTACACTCCACACAATTTACACTGCTATCTTAGCTCGGTCAATCACTTGAGCATAGCACAATTCTTTTTCGACCGTGTAGACTGAATTAGGCTTTGTTAGGCACACCATCACAATTGCCCCTTGGCGACGCCATTCGGCCAAACAAACACACGTGAGTTTGCAACCGTGCTGTGAGGCTAAGCAAAACTGCTTAATTGTTAACTTAAAATCCACACCTATAGGCAAGTATTGCTTCCTGGTTAGCTCTCTTGGTGCCATAGCTGAATTCCGCCGAGAGTACAACATCCTTGATGATGTGCACTTCACTTTAGCTGAATAAGATATAATCCCTTGGGGCAAGACTGGGTTTTGCCCCTTTACAGTGCTATCCATAGTTGAGGAAGGGCTACGCTTTCCAGTCCAACCATTAATTTGCGAATTCCTTAGGCAGACGAGGCTTTGTCTAACCCAACTCTCTAGCAACACCTATCAAATTATCAATGGTAAAGTTGAGCTAAACTGTCGCCTAGGTCTCAACTTAGGGTTGGCCAAGATATTCCACCAATATTCTTTTGGTCAATGCAATGACAGTTGGTGCTACTGCCTGAAGGTAAAAAGAGGGCGTGAGAAGATAGTCAAGAGAACGCTAGATAAAGACTTACACGACGATGATTTTCTTTGGGTCTCTGGTAATTATGAGGACCAAGAGGCCCTGGTGGCTATGAAATTAACTGTAATAAGTAACACAGTTTTACTTACTTTATTTTAATCATTTTGATGCATCAATATCGAGCTAATCGTTGATCCATTTTGATTTATTACTTTTTGCAGATCTAAACCTTTTAAAGGAGAAGTATGCATATGCAAACCAAGATGCTCTCCAAGCCGCATTGAGATACAAGCAACGAAATTGGACTGGATCGATCTACTTAGCTTTGAGCCGACCTACCAATACAAAGGCAATTGAAAGAGCAAAGTCACAGACTTTCTCCTAGAACCGTCACTGAACCTGATCCTAACCTGCCTGAGATTAATATCACTTCCTTGACTGAGGAGCAAGACACGGCCAAGAAGAGAGCACTACGAGCCTTCATCACCAAGCAAGGTGATTGCTGATGCTCAGACTGAGCAGCGTCCCACCGAACAAGGGAGGTCAGTCGTGGTTGCCCTGTCAACAGCCAGGGCTTCTTTATCTCTACCTAACAAAAAGGCTTGAACTACACCCATCGAGCAGCATCTGGTGGCTGAAGAAGACATTGAGCAGTAGACATTGAGCTGTTTGACCTGGAAATGCCTTTGTGGGGAAACCGAACCGAGCGGGCTAACCTATCCACCCCCTAAGTGTGGGCACCAGCTTTGACCTACAAGGGCCGAGCTGTGACCACTGAAGATTCGGTCTATGCTGACAGTGATCATTATTTGGCCTTCAACCCGGCTAAGTGTCTTTGCCTTCTTACCGATATGGAAAGACATGAGTAACTGACCGAGCTAAAGGCAATCTGGTTGGTTACCAAGTCACTGGTTTTGGTGAGTGATACATCTTTACTCATTTTCTTTCCATCTATTTGTTCGATTATCCTAATATCCAATGTGCTTTGTAGGCTGTGCAGAAAAATCAAATAGCTCACCAACGCGTGCTTGACTTGAGGAAGGCTGCCAAAACAACCATTATAGACAACATTGCCAAGGACGCCGAGCTAAAATAATTAAAGGCAAAGCTGGCCGAGGTAAGCACTGCACGGGACCAGTTGGCCGAGCAAGTACGCACAGCTGAAAAGGACAAACAAAAGGCCTTGGTTGAAAAAAGAATAGGTATTTGTGCGAGCTAAAGAAGCTTAAGTACACCAAAGACACTGAGATCAAAGTGTTGGAGAAGAAGATAGAGGACGCTGAGGATCGAGGCTACCATGAAGGCGAGCAAGCTTACGTTCAACAATGCGAGGCCACCAAGGATATTTTCTTCAAGTGTAGTTGGAAGGCTATGGCAGAGAAGCTCAGCTAGGCCCCTGAATTAGAGGTCTTTCTAAATCCACTTCCTCACTTTATCCCAAGTTATACTGCGGTGTATACCAGCGCGATGCAACAAAAATTGCTAGAGGTGGATGAGGACAGCTCGACGACCAATGCTCTTGCCTTGGTTGTTGCTGATCCAATGCGCTAGCCAACTCCTCTAGCTCAGCTAGAAGTGACCAACCAGACTTAGCCGAGCTTCATCATTGACGAAGATGTCACCGATCTAACCATTGAAGATAGTGGTGGCACTGTGTTGACTCCAGATAAAATTGGTGCCTCAACCGAGCTGAATGATTGTGATAACCCTAGTCCATATTATGCTAATTAATCTTAATTGTGATTGTGATTATGTGTTTGCTATGATTTTGAGTGCCATTTATATGAATATATGTGGTTTTGAATTTCTATCTGTTCACCGTAGAAATATCTGTTCAACTTGCTGTTATAAACTGAAAATTGAAGGCCTTGTCGGCCACAGAAATTGAAATTGACTACGCCATTGTGATTAGCGTAATTTTTAGAGCCTACGGTGAAATTTAATTGAAAATTGATTCGGATCAAATTATATAGATTAAATTGATGTTATAGTGCTTAATTAATTAGTATTAATAAATGTGATTAAGGGAGCTTGTATAAAAAGGGCCAATATACACTTATATTCATTTGTTTTGAGGTCAAATCAGATTTTGCCCTCTAGAGAGAGAGAGAGAGAGAGAACCAAACTTAGAGTGAGAGAGGGAGCTCAAATTGAACGTTTGATCAAGAGGCTTGAGAATCTTGAAGATAAACTCAAGAATTAACCATAATTTGGAAGATTTAAGCTTCTAGGTGAGTAATTGGTTATGATTTCATAAATTTGAGGTTGTAATTTTGTGAATTCAAGATTAGATGATCATCTAGAGCTTGAATTGAAGTTGATATGTTCATGCATGCACAAAATTGCCATGAATTTGCATAAACTAACATGTAATATGTTGATTATGAAAAATTGAGCATTGAAGCATACATATAATTGGTTATGATTTCATAAATTTGAGGTTGTAATTTTGTGAATTCAAGATTAGATGATCATCTAGAGCTTGAATTGAAGTTGATATGTTCATGCATGCACAAAATTGCCATGAATTTGCATAAACTAACATGCAATATGTTGATTATGAAAAATTGAGCATTGAAGCATACATGCAAGCATAGTTTTGTTGAGTTTCATTGTTGTGAGCACCATTGGTGCCGTTTGAAATGGAATTGGGGTCTAAGACTAACATGCATGTTGAATTGGTAGAGATATGAATTTTGGATGAAGTTTGAATGCATGGGTTTGATCATACAAAAGAAATGAGGATTTATTTGAGAATTAGATTGCGATTTTGAACAATTCGATCCCATATACTTATATTCTCATGTGGTATAATGTATTTGCACGTTTTGAACCAAAATTATGAGTTTTGGACCTTTGGAGGTCGAGTTTGAACTTGAAGAACAATTCTGGAAAACTCAGAATTTGGTATGTCCGCTCGAGTGGGGAAAGTGCCGCTCGAGCGTGAAATGTGAGCTCCCAGAATTTTTGCAGACATTGATGTCCGCTCGAGTGGGGACATTCACGCTCGAGTGGGGAGTCATGTAGTGTGACTTTCAGCTCGAGTGTCCGAAGTCACGCTCGAGCGTAAATATGAGGCAACCAGCACGTTTGCAGACCAAAGGGGTCCGCTCGAGCGGGGAACCCTGTTTTTGAAATTTTGTAAAGTTGAATTGAGTTTCATTTTCCGTTCTCTTCCATCTCTAAGCGCTCTTAGGCATCCATTAAGCATTGTAAATGAGTTAAAAGGATAAGAACGAAGCCTAAGAGGAATATATGAATTCAGAACGGAATGAATCGTTTGTGACCCATTATGTTCATGAAATGTCTAGGGTCAAGCACGAGGGCAAATCCACCGGCAGATCACTATGAGTAATATCTTAATAAATATATCTGAAGTATGTTATTTGTCCAATTGCTTACTTTCATATAAGTCTTGTAAGTTTGTTACATTGAATTGGGGAGAAATATTTGTTATGCCATATGATTGGGCCAAAGGCCGTTA